CTATCTATCTATCTATCTATCTATCTATCTATCTATCTATCTATCTATCTATCTATCTATCTCACTCAGTTGTCACCACCCATCTCTTTGAAATGACTCTGGGCAGTTTACAAAACAGTTAAAATCAATTAAAATTACAAAATTACAATATACTATTAAAAAAAATAGATCCAAGAATAATTGGCAGTCACTCAGGGAGTGTCATCAAGGCGCCAGCCACCCCCAGGATTGGGATTCTTGTCACCCCACGCAAGCTGGCAGAGCTAGGTCTTTAATCCTTTCCAGAAGGCTGGGAGGGAAGGGGCCTACCACACCTCTGGGGGGAGAATATTCCAAAGGGTGGGGGCAACAGCAGAGAAGACTCTCCTCCTGGGCCCTGCCAGCCAACATTCTCTCACTGACGGGGTCCGTAACATGCCCTCTGTGCCCATGCCATATAGGACTTTAAAGGTAATAACCAACACTTTGAATTGGACCCAGAAGCAGACTGGGACCCAATGCAGCTCACGCAGTAAAAGTGTTATATGTGCTGTTCTTGGGGTACTCAAATTGTCTGCATGGCCGCATTTTGAACCAGCTGTAGCTTCCAGATACTCTTCAAAGGAAGCCCCATGTAGAGCACATTGCAGTAGTCTAGCCAAGAGATGACCAGGGTGTGAGTGACTGACCGGAGAGCCTCCTGATCCAGGAAAGGGCATAACTGGTGTACCACATGAAGGTGGGCAAAGGCCGTCCTGGCCATGACTGCCACTTGTTCCTCAAGATTACCCACCAGGCCTGTCCGGGTCAGTGGAACCCAGTCCAAAACCAAAGATGGTAAATCCTTGGATACAGAAGGGCCTCCAGTCCGTAGCCACTCCATCTTACCAGCATTCAGCTAAAGCCTGTTGCACCCCATCCAGACCCCTACAGTCTCCAGGCACCACAAAAGGGTGGTCACAGCATCACTCACCTCACCCGGGATGGAGATGTATAACTAGGTATCATCTGCATATTGATGATACCTCATCCCATTGTAGCAGATGATTGCACCCAGTGGTTTCATGTAGATGTTAAAAAAGAGCAGAGAGAGTACTGAACCCAAGGGCACCCCACAAAGGAGGGACCGAGAGCTGGACCTCTCACCCCCAATCAATACTAGTTGGGATCAGCCTTGGAGGAAGGAAGAGAACCAGCACACAACTGTGCTGCCCACTCCCAACTCTCCAAATCAACCCAAAAGAATACCATGGTCGATGGTATTGAAAGCCACTGAGATGTCAAGAGCAACGATGGCTGCCTTGTCTGAATACCAGGCTTCCAAGAATTCCCTCGCATTTTTGGATTTAGCTTGGTCTAAGATGCTGACGGTTTCCCAGTTGAAATGATGGTTAAGTCTGTCCATGTATTGTGAGATTAAGGAGTTTTCATTGTGTCTTCTGACTGTTATTGGTGGTTCCCCCCAAGCCCAGCATGGCACTCGCGTGGACTGCAGAATGCCAGGGGGCGTTTGAGGAACTAAAACAGCGG